CTGCAGAGTCTTGGTTACTAGGCCTGTGCGGTTTCGTTCGTTAATTCGTTATTAATTCGTTATTTTTGGCATTTTCGAAGCGATATCAAAACACATTTCCAAACCCGGAAGGGTTTTAAAATATCGAACCAGCAACCCCCATAGATTTAACGAGCTTCCGCTCGTTTCGTTAATGGGGTGGAGGCTGCTGGAGTGCTGGTGCCTGGGAGCCAATCCGGCGCTCCCAAGCAGTGCACCGTGGGTCCGTGGCTGTTTGTTTTTGATTGGCCGGCGAGCCCTTTCAAAGCGGCTCCGCGCGGCCGTAGCTTGCTGCAGAGGGCGAGGGAGTTTGCATTGGGTTGGCTTGGCTGCTAGCAACTGGATTAATGGATTCATTCCTTGCTGCTGTGAGTGCTGCTTGCTTCATTTGCTGTCTCCTGCCTGTGTTTGGTCCACATTTGGGCCATTTTTTGGTTAATTTTCCATTTTAAAATATTTTTAATATTATTTTTAATATTATTTTTTAATATTATTTTTTAATATTATTTTTAATATTATTTTAATATTATTCTTAAAAAATATTCTAAAAAAGAAAAGACTCTTCTGTTGGTGTGTGCTCTCATTTGCTGTCTCCTGCCTGTGTTTGGTCCACATTTGGGCCATTTTTTGTTTAATTTTCCATTTTAAAATATTTTTAATATTATTTTTAATATTATTTTTTAATATTATTTTAATATTATTCTTAAAAAATACAAAAAATATTCTAAAAAAGAAAAGACTCTTCTGTTGGTGTGTGCTCTCATTTGCTGTCCCCTGCCTGTGTTTGGTCCACATTTGGGCCATTTTTTGGTTAATTTTCCATTTTTAAATATTTTTAATATTATTTTAATATTATTTTTTAATATTATTTTAATATTATTTTTAAAAAATATTCTAAAAAAGAAAAGACTCTTCTGTTGGTGTGTGCTCTCATTTGCTGTCTCCTGCCTGTGTTTGGTCCACATTTGGGCCATTTTTTGGTTAATTTTCCATTTTAAAATATTTTTTAATATTATTTTAATATTATTTTTTAATATTATTTTAATATTATTCTTAAAAAATATTCTAAAAAAGAAAAGACTCTTCTGTTGGTGTGTGCTCTCATTTGCTGTCTCATGCCTGTGTTTGGTCCACATTTGGGCCATTTTTTGGTTAATTTTCCATTTTAAAATATTTTTTAATATTATTTTAATATTATTCTTAAAAAATACAAAAAATATTCTAAAAATTCGTTAATATTTACAAAATTTCGTAAATACCAAAACTTTTTTGGGGGGAAAGTTTTGTAATTATTTTAAATATCGAAACAAAAAAACACCCCAATTACAAATCGATTTTAGAAACAAATTTTTTCTTGATCAAACAGGCCTAGTTAGCATATCTATTATTTTATCCTCTTCAAGTTTAGTTTATAAAGCCACAGAAGATATTATTTCAAATGACTGAACAAACCTTGAAAGAAACCTGAAGAAGGGATACTCCTCCTGAAACAAGGACGATAAACACCCAAGGAATCAGTAGGATAATAAACATAGCCTCTGACTTTGTTTCATTGCTCATAGGGCGATCAATGAAAAAAATATTTCTAAACTCATTACAAAATTTGGAGTCACTGGCATTTCATTTCTAAAGCATTTCTAAAATGTCATTAGTGAAAATTTTGTTACTATAATGAGATTAATGAATATTTGTTACTTTTTCATTGTAGTAATTGCACAAGTAGGAAACTTCAGGGGCTCCTTTCTCCCTCATTTTTACATCTATTGGGATGAAACTTGCTACGATTATAGAACACATTTACAATCGGTAGCTTGTTAAATTTCAGAACGTTTCACTTATCCACAGATTTTTGGGAAATGTTCAAAGCTTCTATAAACAGTTTTTTAAAAAAACTAAGAACTATCTCCTTGAATTTTCTATACAATGACACAAGATAGCAGGGGACCATTCCCCCCAACTTTCAAAAATATTTGTATATCTACTGATTTTAGGGAATGTTTGCCTTCCAAGATAATAATAATAATAATAATAATAATAATAATAATAATAATGTAATAATACATCCAACGTAATCAGAAGCTTATGTACTAGGCCTGTTTGATCAAGAAAAAATTTGTTTCTAAAATCGATTTGTAATTGGGGTGTTTTTTTGTTTCGATATTTAAAATAATTACAAAACTTTCCAAAAAAAAGTTTCGGTATTTACGAAATTTCGTAAATATTAACAAAACATTTTGTAAAGATGGGGCCTTTTTTTTTCAATATTTTTAAATATTTTTTAAATTTAATTATTAAATAATTTAGTAGAATAGGGAGGAGAAATTAAGGGAAGGCAGGCACTCACTCTGGCGGGCCCTCTCGCTCGCCACTCGCCCTCTCGCTCGCCGCTCGCCCTCTCGCTCGCCGCTCGCCCTCTCACTCGCCCTCTCGCTCGCCGCTCGCCCTCTCACTCGCCCTCTCGCTCGCCCTCTCCTCGCCCTCTCGCTCGCCGCTCGCCCTCTCTCTCGCCCTCTCGCTCGCCGCTCGCCCTCTCGCTCGCCGCTCGCCCTCTCGCTCGCCGCTCGCCCTCTCGCTCGCCCTCTCGCTCGCCGTTCGCCCTCTCGCTCGCCGCTCGCCCTCTCACTCGCCGCTCGCTCTCGCTCGCCGCTCGCCCTCTCACTCGCCCTCGCCGCTCGCCCTCGCCCTCTCGCTCGCCCTCTCGCTCGCTTGCTCAGCCGGCGCGGAGAGAGGAGAGCTCCCAGCAAGCCAGGCGGCCATCTTACGTATTTCCGAAATGGACGGAAATACAAAATTTTTTGGCGCCTGCCGTTTCGATATTTAAAACCCTTCCGGGTTTGAAAATATGTTTTGTTATCGTTTCGTATATGCAAAAATTAACGAATGTTTAACGAATTAACGAATTAACGAACGAAACCGCACAGGCCTAATATATACCTTTCTGGCAGGACTCCAAAACTTTGTCTACAAAACCAGAACCCATCTAAGAATTGTACATCAAACATAACCAGAAGCTTATGTACCAGTAACTTACTGAAACCACTACGCATTTGTACCAGAAGAAGTTTAAGCCTGTTAAATAAACGTTTTATTATAGTTAACACTTTACAACAGCCTGTGTGTGAACATCATTGGTAATTTAAACCCTCTGAAGAGTGTTACTAAGTATCCTCTCCACATACAACTCAGCCTGGATATTACACAATAAGGTGGCAGCGTACCCAATTGAAGAGGCCTTTTCAAAACCTCTCAGTTCAGACATAATTCAAATATATATGCACACAGTTATATCTTTCCCATTTTTATCAACCTCCTTCCCATGACATTCATTATAATTGTTGGCGGCTTGTGGGATTCACTATTTCAGAAGTCCCTGTTCCTTCTCCCTGAAAAAAAAAAGTAGTTCCTTGGTGTTAGGGTTCCTGGAGCGCTCAAGGGCCAGGGCTTCCCAGTGCTCAGTGTCTATGCCAGAGTTTTTAAGGTTGGCTTTGAGGTCGTCTTTCAATCTCTTTTCCTGCCCACCAATATTCCGTTTTCTGTTCTTGAGTTCGGAGTAGAGCAACTGCTTTGGGGAACGGTGGTCGGGCATCCGGACAAAGTGGCCGGTCCAGCGGAGTTGGTGACGGAGGACCATCGCTTCAATGCTGGTGGTTTTTGCTTCTTCCAGCACGCTGACGTTTGTCCACTTGCCTTCCCAGGAGATTTGCAGGATTTTCCAGAGGCAGCGCTGATAGAATCGTTCTAGGAATTGCATGTAGACAGTCCACGTCTGTAGACAGTCCACGTCTTGCAGGCATAGAGCAGGATTGGGAGGACAATAGCTTTATAAACAAGCACCTTGGTCTCCCTACGGATGTCCTGGTCCTCAAACACTCTCTGCTTCATTCGGAAAAATGCTGCACTCGCAGAGCTCAGGCGGTGTTGTATTTCGGTGTCAATGTTGACTTTGGTGGAGAGGTGGCTGCCAAGGAAGCGGAAATGGTCAACATTTTCTAATGTTACACCATCAAGCTGAATCTCTAGCATTGGAGAGGGAATGGCTGGTGACTACTGGAACAGCAGTTTGGTTTTCTCAATGTTCAATGACAGGCCGAGCTTCTCTCAAGCTTCTGCGAAGGTGTTTAGAGTGGCTTGTAGATCTTCTTCTGAATGCACACAGATGATGTTGTCATCAGCATACTGGAGTTCTATAACAGATGTTGTTGTAACCTTGGTTTTGGTTTTCAGTCTGCTGAGGTTGAATAGCTTGCCATCTGTCCGATAGATGATTTCCACTCCGGTGGGAAGCTTCCCATCAACAAGGTGAAGTATCATAGCGATGAAGATGGTTTGCTCTTCTCCACACTCGCATGTCGTGGACTCCACTTGGTGGCCCCATTTCTTGAGGTTGGCTCTGCATCTCGTGGTGCCAGAGCGCAGCCTGTTCAGCGCCTTCCAAGTCGCCCAGTCTTCTGTGTGCCCAGGGGGGAGTCTCTCATTTGGTATCAGCCACTGATTGAGGTTCTGGGTTTGAGCCTGCCACTTTTGGACTCTCGCTTGCTGAGGTGTTCCAGCGAGTGTCTCTGTAGATCTTACGAAGCTATTTCTTGTTTTAAAATGTTGGCATGCCGGCTGATATCCGAACAGAGGATGTCCAGGAGATGCCTCTTCTCCATACTCGCATGTCGTTGATTCCACTTTGTGACCCCATTTCTTAAGATTGGCTCTGCATCTCGTGGTGCCAGAGCGCAGTCTGTTCACCTTCCAAGTCGCCACTCTTCTGTGTGCCCAGGAGGGAGTCTCCTATTTGGTATCGGATTCTGGGTTTGAACCTGCCACTTTTGGACTCTTGCTTGCTGAGGTGTTCCTGAAAATGTCTCTGTAGATCTTACGAAGCAATTTCTTGATTTAAGATGTTGGCATGCTGGCTGATATCCAAACAGAGGGTGGGCCAGAGGTGTCAATACTTGGTTCTGGTTGTAATACCAGATAAATAGTATATATCTTCTCCTTTTGCAGGCGTCGATGAGGTGACCATCGTCAACATCTTGACAAATCGCAGCAACGAACAGCGCCAAGACATCGCTTTCGCCTACCAGCGGAGGACAAAGAAGGTAAAGCGCGCACTACACACCTCACTCCGAACAGACGTTTGTGTTGTATTGGAGGACCGAGAATTAGATCATGATTTCATATTTCATTATATCATAACAAAATATAATAATGAATAATATAATAGCAAAATATAATATAATCATGGTTTTGCATCCTCGCTGTCTTTTACTAGGAACTTCCGGTGGCCCTGAAGTCGGCGCTGTCGGGACACTTGGAAGCGGTCATGCTGGGTTTGCTGAAGACGCCCCCGCAATACGATGCATCGGAGCTCAAAGCCGCAATGAAGGTGAGCGCAAAGCAAGGCCACCCCTCCATATTCCTGCCATATCTTGAGAACACAACAGCGATTAATAATAATAATAATAATAATAATAATAATAATTTATACCCCACCACCATCTTCCCAATGGCGACTCGGAGCGGCTTACATGGGGCCAAGCCCAAACAACAACAACAATAACAATAATAATAAAACTTTATTTGTACCCCACTACCATCTCCCCAAGGGACTTGGTGCGGCTTACATGGGGCCAAGCCCAAACAACAACAACAACAAAAACAACAATCTATATAAATAAAAATGTATTTTTTTTTGTGATACCATCAGAACTCAAAAACCACTGGGGGAATTGACACCAAATTTGGACACTAGACACTATCTCAAGCAAGCTATGTCCTCCACTCACAAAACCCCCCAAAAACACTTCTCCTCCCCCCTCAGAAAGACGTCCAACTTAAGCCTCAGGGAGGGAGGAGGGAGGGAAGGAGTGCACGTGCATGGCCAGCAGGCTCCCACGGGAGGAGGCTCTCTCTTCAGGAACTGGAGGAAAAGCCCTCATCCCCGCAGGCCTGCCTGAAAATATCTCTCCAGACCTGACTAATCTACCGCCGATGGGATGGATTCGGGAGAAAGGAAACTCTGCGGAAGCAAAAGCAATCAAGCTCAGAGCAGATCCATTGATAACGCAGGCTCAGAATACAGAACCCCTATTCATGTCAGGCAGGAAGACCCCATTCAAGCCCTCCCAACAGATGGCCATCCAATTCCAACCCCATTCTGCCAGGCAGGAAGACACCATTCGCCACCGGGGAAGGAAGGGCCCCTTGGATGCCACGTACTGAAGGATGGGCGCGGGAAACCCTTTGAGGGATAGGAAAGGGCCCCAAAGGCCATCCAGTCCAACCTCATTTTACAGTAAAGGAAGACACCATCAAAGCCCTCCCGACAGATGGTCAACCTGTTGGAAGGGAGCCCCAGAGGCCATCCAGTCCAACCCCCTTTGTCTGTATGTCCATCCATCCTTCAATCCATCAACCACTCCATCTACATATCTATCTACTAGGGCTGGGTGGTTTCGTTTGTTAATTTCGTAACTCGTTATTAATTCGTATTTAAATTAGCTTACGATCCGATATTGAGCCATACAGGAATAGTGTGAGGAGTAATTAAAAATCGAAACAATTTTTCAAATTTATTTCGTATTGTTTCGTAATTGTTTCGTAATTGGTTCGAAATTGTTTCGAAATTGTTTCGTAATTATTTCCGTATGTCTGGTGCAAGTAATATAGTTGTTGTTTGTTTTATCAGTGATAAAAAATAAATTATCACACCAACAGTCAACAACAGAGGGAGAGGGAAGCTTCAGAAGTTCCCCCTGTCCCATTTGGAGGGTTTTTTAGCATAGTGCGCAATCGCGTCCGCCATTAACGAATCAATTCTAAATTAACGAAATTTCGTAAATAACGAAATTTTGAAATCTCAAAATTTCGGAAGTATTTAGAATTTGGAAACGCTAGCGCCCCCTGGAAACGAATCGAGTTTAGAAACAAATTTTTCCGTGGTTACCCAGCCCTACTATCTACCTACTACCTACCAACCTATCTATGTTCTCTCCATCTACCTTCTGTTCCATCCATCAATGTCCCTTCCATCTGTCCCTTCTGTCTATTGCTTCAACTGGAATCCCTCTCTTATCCGAGGGCCACAGCAACGCCTGGCAGGGTACAGCTAGTAATAATAATAAAACTTTATTTGTACCCCGCTACCATCTCCCCAAGGTGCGGCTTACATGGGTCCAAGCCCGGACAATAATAATAATAATAATAATAATAATAATAATAATAATAATAGGATGGTGTGAAGGTTCCTGAGCTGCAAGGAGAGATGGGTAATATAATAATAACTTTCCATAGTCCCTAAATTTGTATTTAAAATAACTCTGCGATGTCTTCATTCCTTTATCCAATGCTGCCCTCTGCTGCCTGAAATCTGTAACTGCCTCAATTGGGATTTCTGGAAGTTTTCTCTAATGATTTGGACATTTTTCACAGTCGAGGAATTTATTTTGCACAAAACTCACCTACTATTATTTTGCTCACGGAATGTCACTTTCTGTGAAGGAACTAATGTTTTCTGTATTGGAACATATTCTGTGCAGGAAGTTTTGCTTTTTGTGCAAAAAAAGGTTTTTTCAACTATGGTTTTCTGTGCAGAAAAAGAATGTTTTCTGTGTAGGAAATATTGCTTTCTGAAAATTATTGTTTTTTGTGCAGAAAATGCTACTTTCTGTGTGGAAGGTGCTATATATCCTGTGCAGAAATTCCTCTTTTTCTGTGCAGAAAGCGGTGTTCTCTATGCAGAAAGTTACTTATTACTCTGCAAATACTTTCTGTGCAGAAAGTGCTGTTTTCTGGGTAAAAAATTTTTTTTGCTGCTTTCTTTGAATCAAATATTTTTTTTCTGTGCAGAACATTATTTTCTAGACTATATTTATTACTCTAGATTATTTTTATTATATTATTATTAGTTGGAGCATTTATATTTATTCTTTTATATTCATATTATATTATATATTACTATTACTGCCAATCTAGTTATCAATGCATTTTTGTAGGTTTTTTCGGGCTATATGGCCATGTTCTAGAGGCATACTCTCCTAGTTATCAATATTTATTATTATTTTACATTCATTATACTATTATAATATTATTATTTTAGATTTTATATATATATATATATATATATATATATATATAATTTTTATATTATATTATTATATTGTATTATACTGTTTTATGTCATATATTTATTATTATTTTTCTAGATTATTTATTTATTATTCTAGACTATTTATATTATTTTATTATCATTAGTTGGAGTATTTATATTTGTTCTATTACATTCGTATTATATTATATATTACTCTTGTTGTCAATATAGTTATCAATATTTGTTATTATTTTACATTCGTTATGTTATAATATTGCTGTTTTAGATTATTTATATATTTAAATTTATGTTATTATTAGTTGGAGTATTTATATTTATTCTTTTATATTCATATTATTTATTTTTAATTTTCATATTATATTATAATATTGTATTATACTGTATTATGTTATATATTTATTATTATTCCAAATCCAGTTCAAGCAAAAGGCAAAATGTAAAATAATATTATATATCATTCAATTATATATGATCATTATTATTGCTTATTGATATTTAGTTATATTATTATTTTTCTAGATTATTTATATTTATTATTCTAGATTATTTATATTATTATTAGTTTGAGTATTTATATTTAAAAATTAAAAATAAATATATAAATAATCTAAAACAATAATATTATAATAATATAATGTAAAATAATAATAAATATTGATAACTAGGGTAGTATGCCTAACCGACAAAAACCTACAACAACCCATTGATAACTAGATTGGCAATAATAGTAACACATAATACAATATGAATATAAAAGAATAAATATAAATACTCAAACTAATAATAATATAAATAATATAATATATATTATTGCTTATTGATATTTAGTTATATTATTATTATTATAGATAAATATAGATTTATATTTATTATTATTAGTTGGAGTATTTATATTTATTATTCCAGATTATTTATATTATTATATTATTATTAGTTGGAGTATTTATATTTTTATATTCGTATTATTATATTATTGTTTTAGATTATTTATATATTTATTTTTAATTTTTATATTATATTATTTTATATACTGTATTATGTCATATATTTATTATTATTATTATTCTAGATTATTTATATTTATTATTCTAGACTATTTATATTGTATTATTATTAGTTGGAGTATTTATATTCTTTTATATTCATTTATTTTTTATATTCATATTATATTATTATATTGTATTATACTGTATTATGTCATATATTTATTATTATTCTAGATTATCTATATTTATTATTCTAGACTATATTATTATATTATTATTATTAGTTGGAGTATTTATATTTATTCTTTTATATTCATATTATTTATTTTTATTTTTTATTATATTATATTGTATTATACTGTATTATGTCATATATTTATTAGTATTATTATTCTAGATTATCTATATTTATTATTCTAGATTATATTATTATATTATTATTAGTTGGAGTATTTATATTATTCTTTTATATTCATATTTTTTATTTATTTTTATTTTTATTATATTATATTGTATTATACTGTATTATGTCATATATTTATTAGTATTATTATTCTAGATTATCTATATTTATTATTCTAGATTATATTATTATATTATTATTAGTTGGAGTATTTATATTATTCTTTTATATTCATATTATTTATTTTTTATTTTCGTATTATATTATTATATTATTATATTGTATTATACTGTATTATGTCATATATTTATTATTATTATTCTAGATTATCTATATTTATTATTCTAGACTATATTATTATATTATTATTATTAGTTGGAGTATTTATATTTATTCTTTTATATTCATATTATTTATTTTTATTTTTTATTATATTATATTGTATTATACTGTATTATGTCATATATTTATTAGTATTATTATTCTAGATTATCTATATTTATTATTCTAGATTATATTATTATATTATTATTAGTTGGAGTATTTATATTATTCTTTTATATTCATATTTTTTATTTTTTATTTTCGTATTATATTATTATATTATATTATACTGTATTATGTCATATATTTATTTATTATTATTATTATTCTATATTATTTATATTTATTATTCTAGACTATATTATTATATTATTATTAGTTGGAGTATTTATATTTATTCTTTTATATTCATATTATTTATTTTTATTTTTTATTATATTATATTGTATTATACTGTATTATGTCATATATTTATTAGTATTATTATTCTAGAGTATCTATATTTATTATTCTAGATTATATTATTATATTATTATTAGTTGGAGTATTTATATTATTCTTTTATATTCATATTTTTTATTTTTTATTTTCGTATTATATTATTATATTATATTATACTGTATTATGTCATATATTTATTTATTATTATTATTATTCTATATTATTTATATTTATTATTCTAGACTATATTATTATATTATTATTAGTTGGAGTATTTATATTTATTCTTTTATATTCATATTATTTATTTTTATTTTTTATTATATTATATTGTATTATACTGTATTATGTCATATATTTATTAGTATTATTATTCTAGAGTATCTATATTTATTATTCTAGATTATATTATTATATTATTATTAGTTGGAGTATTTATATTATTCTTTTATATTCATATTTTTTATTTTTTATTTTCGTATTATATTATTATATTATATTATACTGTATTATGTCATATATTTATTTATTATTATTATTATTCTATATTATTTATATTTATTATTCTAGACTATATTATTATATTATTATTAGTTGGAGTATTTATATTTATTCTTTTATATTCATATTATTTATTTTTATTTTTTATTATATTATATTGTATTATACTGTATTATGTCATATATTTATTAGTATTATTATTCTAGAGTATCTATATTTATTATTCTAGATTATATTATTATATTATTATTAGTTGGAGTATTTATATTATTCTTTTATATTCATATTTTTTATTTTTTATTTTCGTATTATATTATTATATTATATTATACTGTATTATGTCATATATTTATTTATTATTATTATTATTCTATATTATTTATATTTATTATTCTAGACTATATTATTATATTATTATTAGTTGGAGTATTTATATTTATTCTTTTATATTCATATTATTTATTTTTAATTTTCATATTATATTATTATATTGTATTATACTGTATTATGTTATATATTTATTATTATTCCAAATCCAGTTCAAGCAAAAGGCGAAATGTAAAATATTCCTTTCCGATTGCTCTCCGTACGTTTCCCCAGCCTTACATTTTCGCTGCGAAAACAAGAAAGTTTCCCCATCTCTTTGGCTGGGAGGCATTCCCCTTTTATCAATTATGTATCTAATTCTCAAGCCAAAGGTTGCGCTTCTTATTTCCTTTCTTCTCCCGCTCTTTCTTTACGGCATAAAGTACATGGCGTTAATTACGCCCGATTCTCTTTTCAAGGAATCGCAGCCAAAAAAAGAGAGAGAAAGTAACGGCTTTCTAAATGATTCCGGGTGGAACTGAATTGGAACAGAAATTAACAATCTGTTTCCTTTTCCGAGCCTTCGGCGGAAAGATCCGTTTCGATTGAACCTCGTCGGATTCGCCGGAGTTCCCAAAGAGTTTAATTAACACCTGACACCTTTTCATGTGGATTAGTAATTTCCCTTATTGTATTAACAGCTTCATAATTGATTTACACTTTACGCCCGGCTAATTCCAACTTTTGAGTTCAAAGCCTCACTTCTCTATGCGGTTTTATATGCCGTCGCCGAAGACGAGCATATAAAATTAAATCTTGACTTTGATCATTTAAGAAAAGGAAAAGAGAAAAGAGACTTTGAAATACATATTTCATAATATACGTCCCTTGAACTCGGGCGGCTCGTTCCGAACGTAGGAAAGAGAGCGACGTGCCGAGCAAAACCTTATTTTTGTTCTGTCTTTCTTTGGTATTAGCAGGGATAATGAACTGCGTATCTTTCGTTATATCATATTGATTTCTGCTTTTTGCAAAAACACCTGTGTGCATTGCAATGGCGACAGTCTCAAAATATTGGCACTTTCGACCTGAAGTTCGTTGGCGAGAAATAATAATTCAATCTCAAACTCTTTCCTGAGCTTTGAAAGTTATTTCTCAAAAAATGGATTCATTCGATGCATAGCTGCAAACGTTGAGAAGTGTTGGGGTTCAGCCTGAGTTTGAACTTGAACCTGATTCTCTGTTTGTTCCTCCTGATGCTAATGAAAGTATATTTACTAGGCCTGGGTAACAACGCAAAAATTTGTTTCTAAAATCGATTTGTATTTGGGGTGTTTTTTTGTTTCGATATTTAAAATAATTACAAAATTTTCCCTTAAAAAAGTTCGGTATTTACGAAATTTCGTTAATATTTACAAAACATTTTGTAAAGATGGCGCCCTTTTTTCAATATTTTTTCAATATTTTTTCATTTTTTTAATTTAATTATTAATTTAGTAGAATAGGGAGGAGAAATTATTATTAAGGAGGGAAGGCAGGCACTCACTCTGGCGGGCCCTCAAGCGCTGCCGCCGAGTCGGGCCCGGCTCCTCCGAAGCAATGCGAAATTGGGAGAAGGGCTCCCCAAAGGCCATCTAGCCCAGCCCTCCGCTAAGGAATTGGGAGAACGAAGCACAGCCCTCCGCTAAGGAATTGGGAGAACGAAGCACACCCACCGCAAAGGTGAGGAAGGAGGGACGGGCCGCCTTCCCGCTGAGGGTCGCTCGCCCTCTCACTCGCTTGCTCAGCCGGCGCCTTCCCCGCCCTCTCCTCCTCCTCCTCCTCCTCTTTCAGGCTCTGACTGGCTAAGGAGAGGAGAGAGAGGAGAGCTCCCAGCAAGCATCTAGCCAAGCCATCTTACGTATTTCCGAAATGGACGGAAATACAAAATTTTTTGGCGCATGCCGTTTCGATATTTAAAAACACTTCCGGGTTTAAAAATAAGTTTTGTAATCGTTTTGTAATTGCTAAAATTAACGAATATTTAACGAATTACAAAATTAACGAACGAAACCGCCCAGGCCTATATTTCTGATGCTAGTGGAAATGTACCTTTTGATGCCAATGCTCCTGAAATTAGTGAGGAAGAAACTGCTGTAGGTTTGGAAAATGCCAATGTTCCTGAAATTAGTGAGGAAGGAACTTCTGTAGATTTGGAAAATGAAAGTACCAGTGTTCCTGAGAATGTTTCAGAGGGAGACCTTGAACTTTCCCTCCCTTCTGCACCTGTTAACTGTAATGACAACAGAAGGGGCCAGATCTGGCAAGACAGAAGTAAAACACTCAGTTTGCGTCGATCCTCCCGAATTCAAGAATTAAAAACATTGGCATCAAAACAGAAGGGCGGTTCACGGAACCGATTCTTGAGTTTTAATTGCAATACGCCAGGCTGATTGCCTCAGTTCAGGCATCGTTTCAGAATTGATGAAGACCTTGGCAGTTCTCCCGGTTCCCTGGCCATAGTTTGGGAAGATTTCTAGGATATCAAGTACGGTTAGTGGATTGCTAACAGATTCCAGTATTTTCCCAGTGAGGCTTTTGGTTTTGCTTTGTCCATTTAAATTCATGTTTGCTGATTTTGCTGTGGCTTTTGACTTGCATTTTTCCTTTATTTTGTAACCATTTTTCTTCAATAAAAAAGGATTGTTTTTCACAGCCAAGTGTGGTGGATAGTTATCTTAGGGCATCGTTTCCCTGCTCTGGATTGCAACAAGAAGGTGAATAAAGAGAGGTGTGTCTGCACTGTCAAGTTAATTCAGTCTTGACCACACTTGAACTGCAACAATACAGAATCATGGAAGTTGTAGTTTTACCGAGTCTTTAGCATTCACTGCTCAAGTGTGCGGGTCTCTCACCAAACTACAACTTTCGTTATTCCATACCATTGCAGTTTAAGTGGGATCAAAACAATTAGATAGATAATACACTGTCAGATAGGCATGCATTGACTGTAACCCTATTGTGTAAAACTGGTTGAAAATATCGTTCTAATGGACATGTGATCACACACCTACTGAAGGGTTAAGTGGGTGGTGATATGGAACTTGAGCCTATTGTGTAAAACCGGTTAAAAATACAGTTCTAATGGACATGTGGTCACACTTCTATTGAAGGTTTAAGTGGGTGGTGATGTGGAACTTGAATCTATTGTGTTAAACTGGTTGAAAATACAGTTCTAATGGACATGTGACCACACACGTACTGAAGGGTTAAGTGAGTGGTGACATGGAACTTAAGCCTATTGTGCCAAACTAGTTGAAAATACAGTTCTAATGGATGTGTGGTCGCACAGCTACTGAAGGGTTAAGTGGGTGATGATATGGAACTTGAGCCCATTGTGTAAAACCAGTTTAAAATACAGTTCTAATGGACATGTGGTCACACACCTACTGAAGTGGGTGGTGATGTGGAACTTGAGCCTATTGTGTTAAACTGGTTGAAAATACAGTTCTAATGGACATGTGATCACACATGTACTGAAGGTTTAAGTAAGTGGTGAGTGAAACTTGAGCCTATTGTGTAAAACCGGTTGAAAATACAGTTCTAATGGACATGTGGTCGCACACCTACTGAAGGTTTAAGTGGGTGTGATGTGAAACTTGAGCCTTTTGTATAAAACGTTGAAAATACCGTTCTAATGGACATGTGGTCACACACCTACTGAAGATTTAAGTGGGTGGTGATGTGGAACTTTAGCCTATTGTGTTAAACTGGTTGAAAATACAGTTCTAATGGACATGTGGTCACACACTTACTGAAGATTTAAGTGGATGGTGACATGGAACTTAAGCCTATTGTGCTAAACTGGTTGAAAATACAGTTCTAATGGACATGTGGTTGCACACCTACTGAAGGTTTAAGTGGGTGTGATGTGGAACTTGAGGGACAGGCAAAAGAAGCTGAGTCATGACCATGTGACAGGCATGACGTTCTTACGCCAGGCTGTGCAGTAAAACTCTGGTGACAAGTGATAAGGACTCTGATATGCATGGATATATTTTCCTAGCTTGCCTCTGAGATAATCAGTTCAGTGCACAGTGTATTTAGGGAGGTTGTGATTGAGGAAGGAGAAAACTATAAATCATGAACTTATCCTGTCTTCAACAAAAACTGCATTTAGTTTGACCAAAAATGCATTTAATGGGTTTTTCTCATTTGTGTTTCAGGGCCTGGGGACAGACGAAGACACGCTCATTGAGATCATTTGCTCGCGGACAAACCAGGAACTCCACTTAATCAACAGAGTTTACAAAGAAAGTAAGTTGACCCAGAAGAACATGGAAGAGGAGGTACAGTTATGGAGTGTTTCCCTGGTCCACCAGGACCCTTACTTATCCACATTATTGAGCCTATTGTGTAAAACCGATTGAAAATACAGTTTTAATGGACATGTGATCAAACATGTACTGAAGGTTTAAGTAAGTGGTGAGTGGAACTTGAGCCTATTGTGTAAAACCGGTTGAAAATACAGTTCTAATGGACATGTGGTCACACAGCTACTGAAGGGTTAAGTGGGTGGTGATGTGTCCACAGTGTCATTGTGGAAAATATCCAGAGTGACCAAAACTTTTGACCTGTTCCTTGACCGTTCTTGGGTTTGACAGAAAAAATGGTGAAGGACATTACTTGGCAAAAGGTCCCCCAATGTTGAGCTCATTTGATAGACAATAATTTGTTTAAATGAAGGCAGATTTAGGAGACAAAGAACTGTGGCTCAGTCTTGGTTTGTTCTAACGAACCATAGTTATCCTATTCTAACTAACCATGGTTAGTTTGTTCTAACAAACCATAATTATTTTTTCTAACTAACCATAGTTAGTTTGTTCTAATGACCCATTGTTTGTTCTAACGAACGATGGTTAGTTTCTTCTAATGAGTGATGGTTGGTTTCTTCTAACATACCATAGTTATCCTATTCTAACTAACCATAGTTAGTTTGTTCTAATGACCCATAGTTTGTTCTAACGAACCATGGTTAGTTTCTTCTAATGAGTGATGGTTGGTTTCTTCTAACATACCATAGTTATCCTGATCTAACTAACCATAGTTAGTTTGTTCTGACAGACCATAATTATTTTTTCTAACTAACCATAGTTAGTTTGTTCTAATGACCCATAGTTGGTTCTAATGAACGATGGTTTCCATTAATCCTTTCTTCTTTTCTCTCTCTCTTTAAGTGTACAAAACTGAGCTGGAAAAGGACATCATCTCAGACACATCTGGCGATTTCCGAAAGCTGATGGTTGCCCTGGCCAAGGTTGGATACTTTGGCTTTGTTGTTAAGTGGGATAAATATGTCCTTAATATTTGTGTCCAAAATAGGTGTTTACTTGATTATTTCTGTTCTTCTTTAAAAAAGGGGAGGAGAAACGAGGATGCTTCCGTGGTGGACTATGAGCTGATTGACCTAGATGCCAGGGTAAGTTGTGCCTTATTTCTATTATGGTCCGTTGCCCCAAATTTACCATAACGTTGTGTTGAAGGACCAAGCAAAGTCCTAGAAAAACTATCTCTGGGCATTTCTATGTTTGTGTTATTGATTCTATGGTATGCTTTCCCCAAAAATTACTGTTGGAGAACCTCGAAAGGATATCTCTAGGAATGTCTAGGTCCTTCATGAGATGCTGGGACCAGAAGTCTATTATAATAATAAAATAATAATAATAATAATAATAATAATAATATTTATACCCCGCCACCATCTCCCCCAACGGGGACTCGGGGAGGCTTACATGAGGATGAGCAAGCTGAAGATTAATCCCGACAAGACAGAGGTCCTTCTGGTCAATCGTAAATCGGTGCTCCTACAGTGGGGTTGGGACCGGAAAATGAACGGCAGCCAATGGAGCTCCTTAAACAGGGGGGTTGACCACTCCCTGTAAGTTGCCCCAGTTATTAATCTGGCTGCAACCGTTGGACAAGTTGTAATTTCCAGGCTATCTTCAAGGGTAGCCCCACGCAGAGTGCATTGCAATAGTCCAGTCTAGAGGTAACTAAGGCATGGGCCACCATGGTCAAGTCAGACTTCACGAAGTATGGTCGCAGTTGACGCACAAGTTTTAATTGTTCAAAGGCTCTCCCGCCCACCACCGACACCTGTGCTTCAAGCGTCAGCGCTGAGTTCAGGAGAACCCCCAGACTGCGGACCTGTGACTTCAGGGGGAGTGCAAACCCGTCCAGCACAGGTTGCCACCCAATACCCCAGTCAGATGGATGCATACCATAGAATTGCACAGGAGGACCTAGAAAATGGCTAGAAAGAACATCCTTTTGTAGACATGATGTGCGAAATCACCAAAGTCTTGGATACAGCAAAGACGGAGATCCTATGGCTGGGTCAACCGGGCAGTGGGGACATCCAGCTGCCTACCCTGGATGGCGAGGCGCTACGCCCGTCATCATTGGTCAAGAGTCTGGGAGTCCTTTTGGACCCTCTGCTGACGATGGAGGCCCAGGTCTCCGCCGTGAGCAGAACCGCCTTCTTTCACCTGCGGCAGGCTAGACGGCTGGCCCCCTCCCTGTCCAGGGACGACCTGGCTACGGTGATCCAGGCCACGGTCATCTCAAGACTGGACTACTGTAACGCCCTCTACATTGGCCTTCCTCTGTCGGTGATCCGGAAGCTCAAGTTGGTACAAAATGCAGCTGCTCGGCTTCTTGCGGGAATTCCGATGAGATGCCACATAACACCAATCTTACTACAGCTGCATTGGTTACCAATTGAGCACCGGATCACTTTCAAAGGGATGGTACTCACCTTTAAGGCCTTGCATGGTCTGGGGCCGATGTACCTGAGGGACCGCCTCACCCCCTCCCAACCCCAGAGATCCCTCCGTTCTGAGGACCAAGATCTATTGGAAGTCCCCAGTGTGAAGACCTTGCGTCTAACAGCAACCAGACGCAGAGCCTTCACAGCAGTGGCACCATCACTCTGGAATACTCTGCCACCTGAAGTCCGTGCCTTGCGGGACTTATCAGCTTTCCGCAGGGCATGTAAGACATATCTGTTTCGACAGGCCTTTGATCTTGATATTGCTGTTTTTAAATTGTTTTAAATTGTTTTTAAATTGTGTTCGTGGAGCCCCAGGGGAGTGGCGGCATAGAAGTTGGAATAATAAATAAACAAATCAATAAATAAATACAAGAGACTTTCTGTACAGAGCAAATTATCTCAATGAAGTGGAGGAAAGGGATTTTAGTAAGAGAAGTATTGAGATCATCGAAACTTTGCTTAATGCATCTCATTCTTAGTACTTTGTTTAGCTAAAATGTATTTTCCTTCATCAGTAATCTGGAACAGAAAGATTTTCATCCTGATGTATGTAGACGATATAATGCTTGTCTCCTTCTCTCGGTTAGGTCTTAAAAATCTTCTGAAGACTTTCACTATTATTATTGGTATTATGTTTATTCATATTCCATTTTTTCTCCCCATGAGACTCAAAAGTGGCTAACATGAAATGCCTTACAATACAATTTAAAACATATTATGAGGGTTGAATGAAAAGTAATGCCTCCACCGTTGTTACTTGGGTTTGGATGGGAATATTTTAATAAATCAAACACAGAAATAATCCTTAGAATGTGCTCTTTAACTACCACTATTCACTTTCCACATGATCACTAAACAATTAGATACATTTCTGCCAATGATGAATAAGTTTTCTGAAGCTGTCACAGAAGAAGTTGACACTCTGTTTCCGCAAACCCATCGTGACCAGATCTTCCGATAGCCAAGCAAGCAATAACGTGACTTACAATGTGCTCTTTAACTACCACTATTCACTTTCCCACATAATCACCAGACAATTGGATACATTTCTGCCAACGATGAAGCCATCACAGAAGAAGTCGACACTCTGTTTTGGCAACCAGCATCTCTCAAATACCCATCATGCACAGATCTTCTGATAGACAAGCAAAGTAATAATGTGACCCACACGTTCTTGTGAAATGCCAATTATGCTTGTAATTTCTCTCTGAGTGATACGACGATTGAATCAATGTGTCAACCTTTTGCTTGTGAAACTCAGTGGTTGCTGTCACAGGACCTCCAACTCTTTGTTTGTCATGCAAGTCAGATGTTCCCACCTCAACATATTTAAACTTACCCGCCCAACAACGCACAGTACTCACATCAACACAATCACCATAAACAGCTTGCATTCTCTGATGAATGTCCTTTGGGGTGACACCTTCTGCTGTCAAGAATTCAGTGACTACACATTGCTGAAGTTGCATTCACCAACAGTCTGCACAGGGTTCCATACTTTGCACTTTAACAACACAACCGTTCAATGCTAAGGCTTCCCGCCAAAATGGAACTGTAGAGGAGAATCTACTGAACAAGCCAGTACCTGCCGCATACCAGTACTGCCATCTGTTGAGGAGTTACAAAGGTGGAGGCATTACTTTTCACTTTAACAACACAACCGTTCAATGCTAAGGCTTCCCACCAAAATGGAACTGTAGAGGAGAGTCTACTGAACAAGCCAGTACCTGCCGCATACCAGTACTGCCATCTGTTGAGGAGTTACAAAGGTGGAGGCATTACTTTTCACTTTAACAACACAACCGTTCAATGCTAAGGCTTCCCACCAAAATGGAACTGTAGAGGAGAGTCTACTGAACAAGCCAGTACCTGCCGCATACCAGTACTGCCATCTGTTGAGGAGTTACGAAGGTGGAGGCATTACTTTTCATTCAACCCTCGTAATATATGACTCTTAGAACAGTATTAATCATCTTTAAGTATTCAAAACAATTCAGATTAAATCCATAAAAACATTTAAAAAAACAAATAGGACCTTGCCTACTGCTAAGGTGAACATCTGACAATAAATACCTCCCAAGATCAAGGTTATGGTTTTGGGATGATACAAATGGTCTTTAAATTTGTTGTTCGGGCTTGGCCCCATGTAAGCCGCTTCGAGTCCCCGTTGGGGGAGATGGTGACGAGGTATAAATAAAGTTTATTATTATTATTACTATTAGTATTATTAAACTAAGATGTCATAGCACAAACTCATCTATTCAAATATCTGGGCATCTCATTCATCCCAGGAACTGTATGATGCGGGCGTCAAGAGGAAGGGCACCGATGTTGCCAAGTGGATCAATATCATGACTGAGAGGAGCGTCCCCCACCTTCAAAAAGGTAACGGGCAGAGGCGGCCCTAGGTAATTTTCAACGGTAAGCAAACAGTATTTTGACCCCCCCCCCCAACCAATCACTGATATATATTTTCTGTTCGTCGTGGGAGTTCTGTGTGCCATATTTGGTTCAATTCCATCATTGGTGGAGTTCAGAATGCTCTTTGATTGTAGGTGAACTATACATCCCAGTAACTACCCTTGCCGCACTTGCTCCCTTGCCTGGCCCGCTTTGGGTCCGGAGGCGTGCCTGAAGACGTGGGAGTTCAGATTGCTCTTTGATTGTAGGTGAACTATACATCCCAGTAACTACCCTTGCTGCACTTGCTTCCTTGCCTGGCCCGCTTTGGGTCCGGAGGCGTGTGCACCAAAAGTCACCTCTTCTCCTGACTTTCTCCTCAGCCATTGGGACCGAGAGAGAGAGAGAGAGAGGTGGAGATGCCCACCTTTCCTGAAGGTAGGCGCAAAAACAAAGGAGGGAGCGGAGGTGGGAGATACCTCCAGCCGGAGGGGCTCTCTCTCTCTCTCTCTTGGTCCCAATGGCTGAAGAGAAAGTCAGGAGAAGAGGTGACTTTTGGTGCGCACGCTGGGGTCTTCAGACACGCCTCCGGACCCGAAGCGGGCCAGACGGCGGCTCCGCCCCTTGGCCCACCCGCGGATTGGGGAGAGGAGAGGAGGTGGGTGGAGCGCCGGGGGATCGGGAAAGGGAGCCAGTCATGGGGAAGGGATCGAACGCGGAGAACGATTGAGCACCGGC